AATGCTATGTGGCTTAAATTGTGTGTGTTCCCTCAGAGCACTTTCATGTTTACATCTGCCAGGTACCCTCAATTTTATGCTAACTTCTCCACTTTGGAGCTTTCAGGCTAAGCAGAGAATATAAATCTAAACCTCAAATGTGAGGACAGGCCTGTGATTATGATGTCACAGCAATGTTTAATTTTTCTGTGCTCTTGTGTTCCTATCCAGGACACAGGTTGAGACAATCTCAAGCCTTCTTTTTTTCTTCCTATACAAGTGGATAATTTTTTCCCAGACTAACCTTTTCTAACTCTGTCAGGACTCCATCGTTTTATTGAGGCCTCATCTGGCTGTCATCTCCTCTCTATGTAGGCATCAATATCCAATACCCAAAGAAGACCCCCACCCCTAGCTATTGGTTTGGCCGAAAACTTTTTGGCCAACCCAATATTTTGACAATGATTATAAGGCAAGTACAATATGGTCATGGGGCAGTTCAGGCCACATTGATTAAAAAATACTTTGTGAAACCATTTTTTTCCCCATCTATTTGACTCCAAAAAAAGTTATTCCCTTCCAAAAGCTTTCCTAAAACTAATGTAGCATCTTACCAAATTACAGCTCCTAACACATAATACTCTCCGAGGAACAAGATTTATATGAAAGGGCTTTGTAAACTGTAAACATCTATGTTAATATAATTATTATGTGCTAAAAAAAAGAGAGAAAGAAAGAAAGAAGAAAGAAAAGAGAGAGAGAGAGAAGGAGGGAGGGAGGAAGGAAGGAAGAGGAGGGGAGGGGAGGGGAGGGAAGCCTGTAGATTACTGACACACTAGCTCCATTAGTCACCCCTCCCTGTCCTGTTCCCAGAGCCACAAAGCCAGCTCATAAATTTACTGCTTTTTTTCAACCCCTTCCCTTTTTTTTTTTTTTTGCCATATGTGGTCCTCTCACTGTCGTGGCCTTTCCCATTGCCGGACGCGCAGGCTCAGCGGCCATGGCTCACGGGCCCAGCCGCTCCGCGGCATGTGGGATCCTCCCGGACCGGGGCACGAACCCGCATCCCCTGCATCGGCAGGCGGACTCTCAACCACTGCCAACACCTTCACTTTTAACCCCTGGGAATTTCTCTTCCTTTGTCACCACTCAGCTATACATTCAAAGGGATACTTGTTACTCAGCATTTCAAGATGTTTTACAGCAGGAAGGCTCCCACGATTAAGTCTGTATATTACTGGAACTAGAACCATTACAATTAATTTTCTCACTGATCATTGTTTTATGATATATGTAATGACTTAAATGACATTCTACAAACATTGAGAGAAGGTTCTTTCTTGAATGGATTGTATCATAGTGTGAATAAAAGGTATTTGCCCGAGACTCTTCTTAATCCAGTGCTTCTCAAACTTGAGCATGATTATCTGGAAGCCTTAATTAAAAACAGAATGCTGAGCCTCATCCCCAGAGTTTCTGATTCAGTTTTTGGCATTTCTCACAAGTTCCCAGGTGATGCTGCTGGTCCAGGGACTGCACTTTGAGAACCACTGCCTTAGCTTAACATATCCAGGGCTTCCCTGGTGGCACAGTGGTTAAGAATCCACCTCCCAATGCAGGGGACACGGGCTCGAGCCCTGGTCCAGGAAGATCCCACATGCCGCAGAGCAATAAAGCCCGTGCGCCACAACTACTGAGCCTGTGCTCTAGAGCCCTGTGCACCACAACTACTGAAGCCCACGCACCTAGAGCCTGTGCTCCACAACAAGAGAAGCCACTGCAAAGAGAAGCCCACGCACTGCAACGAAGAGTAGCTCCCGCTTGCCACAACTAGAGAAAAGCCCTCGCACAGCAATGAAGACCCAACGCAGCCAAAAATAAATTAATTTAAAAAAAGAAACATATCCAGCCAGCAAAGTATTTTACAGAGAAAAAATGCTTCCTTTCATGGAAGGAATTGTATTTCTGCTTTCTAATGAGGGGCTTATAATGTTTTCCTTCCACAGCCTGCAATACTTTCCTAACTGGTATCTCTGCTTCTGCTCTATCCATCCCTCATCCATTCTTCACCCAGAAACTGGCAAGATCTTAAATTAATTTCCTACTTGAATCCTTAATGGCATCCCACTGCATCAGAATAAAATCCAAAATCCTCACTCATCTCACACATTTTCCAGCCATTCTGGCTTTTTCCTGTTCCCAGAACTTTCCAAGTTCCATCTTGCCCCAGGACCAGTTTCTCTTCCTGGAACATACTACTCCCTCCTATTTGTACCCTCAGCACTTCACCTCCTTGGTTCCTTCCCTTTCTTCCAGTCTTTTTTTTTTTTTTTTTTGTGGTACGCCGGCCTCTCACTGCTGTGGCCTCTTCCTTTGCGGAGCACAGGTTCCGGACACGCAGGCTCAGCGGCCATGGCTCATGCACCCAGCCGCTCTGCGGCATGTGGGATTTTCCCGGACTGGGGCACGAACCCTTGTCACCTGCATCGGCAGGCGGACTCTCAACCACTGCGACATCAGGGAAGCCCCTCTTCCAGTCTTATTTTAAATATCATTCATTTGGGGGCTTCTTCCCTGACCCCTGTATTATTGAAGTCCCTTAAGAAGCTCTCCTAATTAGGCCCTGAGACCCCCTAACACAGCTGTGTCATGATTCTTCCTTCTCAGGGGAAGCAGTGGGCTTTCTACACTGCAACTATTGTTTTCAACTCAGATACACTGAGATCTCTATTTCTCCCAAGAGAAGGAGAACATGTAACACCTACAAATATACCTATTTCTTTAATGATTCAGGAAAAGTTCATTTATCAGTGCCCCAAATAAGGTGAAAGAAGGCTGTGACTGGGCTGAATGAACTAATGAAAGGGCCTGAAACCTTCCCCTTCTCTGGTCAGGCTTGTAGTCTACAGCTACACGTGACCAGTGACCCTCCTCTTCCTGCAGCTCTGTGTGCAGAGTGAGGCACCACTGTGTAGCCCCCAGCTGCTCCCAAGGCCAAAGGACCCCACCTTGAGGGAGAGGGCTGAAGCATTAGGGGGAAGCCTGACATTGTGAGGAGCAAAGTTTCCAACTGGTCAGTATCTTGGTCTCCTGTGACTTCTGTGTCATGGCCAACTAAAAGGACTCCATAAAGGGAAGGACTACCTAATTCTACAATTCCTAAAGCAGAAAGCCTCCCACCCTTGTTGTCCCTATTACAGTTCTCTGCTTTTTCCTTCAGAGTACAAGGCACATTCTCCTTTAGGTAGTTTATTAATTAATTACTTTATTATTTTTTTCAAAATATTTTTATTGTGGTAAAATACACATAAAATTTACCATTTTAACCATTTTAAGTGTACAGTTCAGTGGTATATACATTTTTTTGTTTGTTTGTTTTGTTTACCTCTCCCTACCCCCACTGAAAGCTCCTCAAGAGTAGGTATAAACCATATCTGTTTCATTCACCATGGTATTCCATAACACAGGGGAGAACTGGGAAATAGGAAGAGCTTGATAAATATGTGTTGAAGGAGTGAGTCACTTAGCATGGCGCCCCACTGAGGAAGGAGGGCTTGGAAGTGAAACAATGAATAGGCACAGAATTGACATAGACATACGGCAGAGAGGAGAGGACAATTTCTGTCAACATTGTCCCTGGGCATCCAACTGAGAATAGACTTCTCGTGCACTTGGTGTTGGTAGCTAATGCGTGGAAAAGACCCAGGCTCTGGAGTCAGAAAAACCAGGCCTTGAACCCCACCTTTGCCCCATTAACTACCCCTGCAACCTTGGGCAAAGTCAATCCAGCTCTTGGCTTTCTCATCTATAAAATGGGATTTGAAATAGCACCAACTTCCCAGGGTTGTTCTGATGTAGAATGGACGACAGCAGTTGGCATGTTGTCAGTTTTCAGTTAATATGTATTAGTCCCTTCCTTCTCCCCTCCCTAGCAAACTGCAGCCTGCGGGCAGAAGCAGGGACTCAGCTTCTCCTGAGTTGGATTGCCAGAATGCACCCAGCTGGTGTCCCTTCTCCTTTTCCTGGAAGCCTTCCCTGACCCAACGTGTCAGTCATTTTCTTCTGTGGACTCTGTCCACAGTCCCCTATACCACCTTTTATCAAAGTTCTGGTCTAATGCCACTGAAATGATTTCAGCCACGCACCTCCACTAGCCGTGCTCAGGCTGTTTCGGTAAAATCAACCCCAGAGGCCCTGGCTCCTAGAGTACTTTGAGGTCCAGAAGAAATGGGTTGGAATCAGGCCCTGCCATTAATTCCTGTGATCTAGGGCGTTACTTAGCTTCTCCAGGCCACAGTTTCTCCTTCAGAAAATGGATATAAAAGTCACACCTGGGCTTCCCTGGTGGCGCAGCGGTTGAGAGTCTGCCTGCCGATGCAGGGGTCACAGGTTCGTGCCCCGGTCCGGGAAGATCCCACATGACGCAGAGCGGCTGGGCCTGCGAGCCATGGCCGCTGGGCCTGCGCGTCCGGAGCCTGTGCTCCGCAACGGGAGAGACCACAACAGTGAGAGGCCCGCGTACCGCAAAAAAAAAAAAAAAAAAAAAGTCACACCTACTTTACAGAGGTGATTCTCAAGCTGTAACTGCAGGGAATCACCTGGGAGCCATTCCTAGAGTTTCTGATTCATCAGGTTTGAGTCGGGGCACGATAACTTGCATTTCTAACCAATTCCAGGTGATAATGGGGCTGCCGCTTGGGGAGACTGAAAACCACTGTTCTAGGAGCTTCCAAGTTCCAAGAGTCTCATGTGAAACTCGAGGCGCAGTTCCTGGCGCAAGGCAAGCGAATGCTGCTGTTACTGTGTCTACCCGGCCGAGTCCTCCTCCGGGGACCCTGATCCGCAGAAGACCTACCCCCCACCCTGCCTTCCCTCGCTCCCTTACCGCTGGAGCCCTCTTTAGCCGCTGGACAATAGCGCCGACAGCACGGGTGGGCGGGGCGGCCTGAGTGAGAACGAGGGCGAAGGGTGGGGCCGAGCGTACGCATTGCTGCGCCTGCGTGCAGAGAGGGGGCGTGGCTCAAGCTCGGCCGGAAGCGGGAGGCTGCAGGCGCGGGCAGGCGGGCGGGCAGGTTGGCGTCCTCTTTCCGGCTGGTCCCCATGGAGGCGCTGGGGAAGCTGAAGCAGTTCGATGCCTACCCCAAGACTCTGGAGGACTTCCGGGTCAAGACCTGCGGGGGCGCCACGGGTAGGCCGTGGCGGGGTCGGGGTGGCGGGGAGTGGGGTGTCCTAGAGGTTGGCTGGGGCGCCTGGAACCTGCGCGGCCTGCCAGGGGCTGAGGAAGAGGAACAGAGGCCCTCCTGACCCTCGCTCCCTGCCCGCAGTGACCATTGTCAGTGGCCTTCTCATGCTGCTACTGTTCCTGTCCGAGCTGCAGTATTACCTCACCACTGAGGTAAGGGGCGGGGCCTAGTACGTGGAAGGGGCTTGGCGTTCTAGAGGTAGGCGCTTTAGGGGATGGGAATGGGGAAAAAGAGGCTTGGGGCCAAATCTTACTGAGGTCGTCCTGCCCCAGGTGCATCCTGAACTCTACGTGGACAAGTCACGGGGAGATAAACTGAAGATCAACATTAATGTGCTTTTTCCACACATGCCGTGTGCCTGTGAGTACCTCACCATGGGTGGGAGTTGCAAGTCCCAGGGTTCTCAGGTGGGCTTCCAGGTTCACACCTCCAGCCTTAGGTTCTGGACAGGACTCCAGGACAACCTCCTTCCCCTAATCCACTGCTGCCCCAAGACAAGCCCAGCATCCCCATTACCCTCCAAAACCCGGATTCCCTTGCCCTTAGGTTCCCAGTACCTTACCCTGATTTCCTGCTTCCAGATCTGAGCATTGATGCCATGGATGTGGCTGGGGAGCAGCAGCTGGATGTGGAACACAACCTGTTCAAAAAACGGCTGGATAAGGATGGCTTTCCCGTGAGCTCAGAGGCGGAACGTCATGGTAACTGGGGGGAAGAGACCAGATCTCAAATCCCAGAGCTGGACAAGCCCAAGCACTACCTTCTGGCAAGTGGGCTGTGCCCGGCCCAGTGACAAATGAAACATCTAGGACCCAGAGAAGTCAAGTGGCTTGCCTAGGGTCCCCCAGCTATTAAGAATCAGAGTGGGCTGAAATCCAGTTTTCTAGCCTAGTATTGAGAAGAGTACTCTTCAGGGCTGTCATTCTCAGAGGTCCCCAATCCCTGCCTGTTGTGGTCTGAGTAACAGAAGTTTGAGGATGGGTCCTATGTGCTGTTGCCTTGGCAGAACTCCTCTAGGTGGACCCACGCTTCTCTGGGTGTTGCTTCCCTGTCCCATAGACTGACTGCAGCCCTGAATGCTCTTCCCTCTTGGAATGAAGGATGGCTTAAGGTTGAGCTTGTTCGTGGGTTAGATTGCCTGCATTCGGATGTAGCTCCGTCTCTTGCCGTCTGTGACCTCAGCTATTAAGTGGTGATAAACACTTGTACCCACCACGTGGAATTGTAGGATCAAATGAAGTAATATGTGTACAATGCCTAGTACAGAGTGTCTGTTCACTTTTAGCTTCCTTTCTTCTCTCTGGGTGTCCTCCCAATGCCTCCATTAAGTCAGTTTTCCTCCATAACAAAACCTTCCTGAAAGCTATGATTTTTCACACTTTAGGGATTCCTCTGTTGGTGAGCTTTATCATTTATTTGTTCAACACATATATGTTGAACACCAGTAAAACCAATAGAATTGGCTGTAGGATTGGGTGTGGGGTCAAGGTTGATTCCAAGGCTTTGGTCTGAGGAAATGAATGACTTGATGACCAGAAAGGAGGAAGAGGATTTGTGTGTGTAGGTGGGAGAGGTGGGGGAATATATATCCACTACTGCGTAACGAGTAACCCCCAAAGTTAGTGACTTAACACAACAAACATTTATTTTCAGTTTCTATGGGTCAGGAATTCAGGAGTGACTTGGTTGGGCTGTTCTGACCATTGCAGTTGGCAACACGGAGGTCACTGGAGACTGAAAGGATTAGTTTTGATACTGTTGGGGATGAAAATCTAACCAAAGAATAGAAAAGGAAGTGGAGACATCAAGTATAGATGACCCTTCCAGGAGTCTTGCTGTGAGACAGAGCGGAGAAGTGGGGCTGGAAGAGAGTGCATGCGGGTTGGTAGGTTTGGTGTTGGGATTAAGTGAGGTTCTGTTGCTTCTCTTTTTTTAGTGGAAATTGAAAGCAGAGTCATTAGCTAAGAGTGGAGAAAGGGGAAGGGATTTTGGAAGCCCAAGGAAAGGGAAAAAGATAGAAATTAATCATCGTGGGGAACGGGATAGTGAACTGATTATTGAAAGGAAGTAGGATTGCCAGGCAGTCTTAAGGGAGGCACAGGAAAGAAGTAGGCACAGGGAGTTGAACTCAACTAGGATTTGAGTTTTGCTTAGACTTGTATGACAAAGGGAGAGAGGAACAAATGACTTGTGATTATGTGCAAGAGAATAATTGCATCAGTGGACCAGAGAATTTATTTTCCAGCCTTGTAGAGATATAATTAAAATATACCATCGTGTAAGTTTAAGGTATACAATGTGATGATTTAACATACATATTTGTTATAAGATGATTACCACAATAGGGTTCGCTAACACATCCATTACCTCACAGTTATCTTTTTTGTGTATGTGGTGAGAACATTTAATATGTACTCTCAGGGGCTTCCCTGGTGGTGCAGTGGTTGAGTCTGCCTGCTGATGCAGGGGACACAGGTTCGTGCCCCGGTCTGGGAAGATCCCACATGCTGCAGAGCGGCTGGGCCTGTGAGCCATGGCCGCTGAGCCTGTGCGTCCGGAACCTCTGCTCCGCAGCGGGAAAGGCCCGCTTACCGCAAAAAAAAAAAAAAAAAAGATGTACTCTCAGCAGCTTTCAAGTATACAGTACAATATTGTTAACTATAGTCACCATGCTGTACATTAGATCCCTAGAACTTATTCATCTTATAAGTGAAAGTCTGTACTCTTTGACCAACATTTCCCCATTTCCCCTACCCCCCAACCCCTGGCAGCCACCTGTCTACTCTCTGTTTCTATGAATTTGTTTTTTTTAGATTCTACATATAAATGAGATCATACAGTATTTGTCTTTCTCTATCTGACTTATTTCCCTTAATATAATGGCCACAAGTTTTATCCATGTTGTTGCAAATGGTAGGATTTCCTTCTTTTTAATGGCTGAATAAAATTCCAATATATGTATATGATATATATAAAATATTCTAATATATATGATATATGTAATATTCATTATATATATATACACACCATATATATATACATACCATACACACACACACACACACACACACACACACACACACACCACATTTTCCTTATCCATTCATCTGCTGAGGGACACTTAGGTTGTTTTTTGTCTTGGTTGTTGTGAATAATGCTACAATAAACATGGGAATACAGATATCTCTTCAAGATACTGATTTCTTTTCTTTTTTTGTATCTATACCCAGAAATGGGAGTGCTGGAACAAATGATAGTTCTATTTTTAATTTTTTGAGGAACTTCCATATTGTTTTCCATAATGGCTGTACCAGTTTCCACTCCCACCAACAGTGCACAAGGGTTCCCTTTTCTCCACTTTCTCATCAATACTTACTTCATTTTTGTTTCTGTTTTTTCTAATAATAGATATTCTAACAGGTGTGAGGTGATATCTTGTGGTTTTCATTTGCATTTCTCTGATGATTAGTGTTGTTAAGCACCTTTTCATGTTCCTGTTGACCACCTGTATGTCTTCTTTCAAAAAATGTCTATTCAGGTCCTTTGCCCATTTTTAATTGAATAAATTTATTTTTTTGCTATTGAGTTATATGAGTTCCTTACATGTTTTAGATATTAATCCCTTATCAGATATATCATTTGCAAATATTTCTCCCATTCCATAGGTTGTCTTTTCATTTTGTTAATTGTTTCTTTGCTGTGCAGAAGCTATTTACTTTGATGTAGTTGCACTTGTTTTTACTTTTGTTGCCTGTGCTTTTGGTGTCATGTCCAAAAAACCATTGCCAAGACCAATATAGGAGTTCTTCTTACCTTCCAGTCTTTAATCCATTTTGAGTTAATTTTTGTGAGTGGTATAAAAGAGGGGTATAATTTCAATCTTTTACTTCTGAATATCCAGTTTTCCTGGCATCATTTATTGAAGAGACTGTTCATTCCTCATTCGGACCATAAAATTTAAACACGGAGGGAAGTGACGATGTGAAGGGGTGATAGTGTCAGTGGTGTCAAAGAATTGGTAGATTCTGGGTACCAGAGAAAGTGATGTGGGAAAATGAGGATAAGATTGAAGATTGGGATACTTGAAATTGAATTTTGGAAGGTTTGTGGTAACTGGTAATAACTGAGTATGGAAATGCGTGGCTGAGGTTGGATGACAAAAGTAGAAAGATTATTGGAGGACAGGAGGTCAGGGTATTGAATATTGAAATCGCCAGTTATGTTGAGGTAGTTAAAGGCAGGGAGCCAGGTGCAGAGAGAGCAGTCTTAGGACAAGCACCATGGTTAAGGGCTTACACTTTGGATTTAGAGCTGAAATCTGCCACTTACTGTGTTGCATTGGGCGAAATCACTTTTCATCTCTGAGCCTCAGCACCTTCTCAAGTACTATGGGGATAATAACCTCCACCTTCAGAGTCATTGGGGGGTCTTTCCCTATGTTTTCTTCTAGGAGTTTTATGGTATCAAGTCTTACATTTAATTCTTTAATCCATTTTGAGTTAATTTTTGTGAGTGGTATAAAAGAGGGGTATAATTTCAATCTTTTACTTCTGAATATCCAGTTTTCCTGGCATCATTTATTGAAGAGACTGTTCATTCCTCATTCGGACCATAAAATTTAAACACGGAGGGAAGTGACGATGTGAAGGGGTGATAGTGTCAGTGGTGTCAAAGAATTGGTAGATTCTGGGTACCAGAGAAAGTGATGTGGGAAAATGAGGATAAGATTGAAGATTGGGATACTTGAAATTGAATTTTGGAAGGTTTGTGGTAACTGGTAATAACTGAGTATGGAAATGCGTGGCTGAGGTTGGATGACAAAAGTAGAAAGATTATTGGAGGACAGGAGGTCAGGGTATTGAATATTGAAATCGCCAGTTATGTTGAGGTAGTTAAAGGCAGGGAGCCAGGTGCAGAGAGAGCAGTCTTAGGACAAGCACCATGGTTAAGGGCTTACACTTTGGATTTAGAGCTGAAATCTGCCACTTACTGTGTTGCATTGGGCGAAATCACTTTTCATCTCTGAGCCTCAGCACCTTCTCAAGTACTATGGGGATAATAACCTCCACCTTCAGAGTCATTGGGGGGTTGAAAAGAGACAATATTTGTAAAGTACAGTGACCTGTATTCAGCTAATATTTAGTATTCACTGTTATTGTTTTATTACTATTACCGTTATTGAAAGAAATAATATATGTGTAGAAATGCTTAGTGCCTGACACATAGTATACATGATGTAAATATTAGCTGTTATAATGTTTATTAACCCAAAGGGCCCATGCAAGGGTTAGGAGTATAGATTTCACTGTGCCTGCCCGCAGCTGATGCCCCTGCCTCTGCCCTCCCCTTAGAGCTCGGGAAAGTTGAGATGAAGGTGTTTGACCCTGATTCCCTGGACCCTAGTCGCTGTGAGAGCTGCTATGGTGCCGAGACGGAAGACATCAGGTGAGCCAGGGTCGGGCATCGGGGTGGGGGGTGGGGAGCTGGGCCCCCATCAGGTGCTTTTTGTCAGTCATCCTCAGCCTTTGTTGGACTCTGTGGTTTAGACCAAGAATTTAGACCGGATGGGACAGGCTGCATGCCTTGGTCCCTGATCCCGGTGCAGGCGACTGAGGCTCTGTGGCCAGGCCCTACCTGGGGGCTGCAGAGCTGGGGACGAAGTTGAAGTGGTCCTTGCTCTGGTTCAGAGGTAGTCTCTGGAGTCCAGCTGCCTGGGTTCTTCCCATGGGTCCTTGGGCCAAGCTACGTAACCCTCTCTTGTGAAGGGGGACCATAATGGCACCTTTCTCATAAGAGTCACATAAGGAATATGTATGTAAAGCAGTGAGATGGAGGGCCCAGCCCAGGTTATTAATTAAGCCTTCCATATATGGTAACTGCTGGTTTGTTTCTCAGGCCCTGACCCATGAAAGGCTGATTCACCAGGTCTAGGGCAGGGCCTGGGAATATGTATTTTTTTTAAAAATTTTTAGGTAAAATATATATGACATAAAATTTACCATTTTAACCATTTTCATGTGTGCAATCCAGTGGTATTAACTACATTCATAGCATTGTGCAGCCATCACCACAATCTGATCTAAAACTTTTCATCACCCCAAAGAAAATGGGAATATGTATTTTTAACAGTCCTGCTGCCACTGAGGAAACATACTTTGAGAACACTGGATGGTCAGGGCTGAGGCTGGCAGAGGCTTCATTAGTGGGCAGAACTGCTTTATTTCCCAAGGTGCCGGCACTGTTTCTGTGCCTCTGTGACATTCTCCCCCTGCACCTCCTCCCCTACAGGTGCTGTAACTCCTGTGAGGATGTGCGGGAGGCATATCGCCGTCGAGGCTGGGCCTTCAAGAACCCAGACACTATTGAGCAGTGCCGGCGAGAGGGCTTCAGCCAGAAGATGCAGGAGCAGAAGAATGAAGGCTGCCAGGTGTACGGCTTCTTGGAAGTCAACAAGGTACAGGAGGAGCCGAGGCGGGACAGGGCCAGCTAGGCTGTGGGTTGGCCCCACTCCACTGTGAATCGAGGGGACAAAGGGAAGGGAGGAAATGGCTGGAGAATGAGAGGGCATCTCCCCTACAGGTGGCGGGAAACTTCCACTTTGCCCCCGGGAAGAGCTTCCAGCAGTCCCACGTGCACGGTAAGTGACCCGACATCAGCTGGGAGCTTTAGCCCCTGGACACCTGGCGAGTTTGAGTGCCCCTTCGGCTCCCTGCTGCTCTTTTGTCTTTGGCCCAGAGCAGACCCTGAACTCAGGGCAGCAGTTTGGTAAACAGTTAAGAGCACAGGCTGAGGAGCCAGACTGCCTGGCTTCAGATTTTAGTTTTAGACCTTACAGGCTGTCTGAAACTTTGAGAAATTTCCTTAACTTTTTGAGCTTCAGTTTCTTCCTTTTTAAAGTGGGGATGATAGTACTCATCTCCTATGCTGTTTGGGCAGGTTAAAGATGATAGCACAGAGCCTGGCTTGTGGTAGGTATTTATTTAAATGGTAGCCCCCAGTATCAGATGACCTGTGTGTGAGGCTTTGGGGGAAGCAGATCTGGTTTGGGACCCAGGTTCTGCCTCTCCCACGCTGTGTCGTCTTTAGTACGTATTGAGCCCTACTCAACTTCTTCTATAAAATGGGCCTGAAATAGTGCCTACCTTACAGGGTTGTTCACAAGGATGAATACATGAGATTTATTCTCATTCATTTATTCATTTGTACATTCACTAGGTATTTAGTAATCACCTGTTGTGCGCCATGTGCTAGTCTAGGTGCTAAGGATACAACAGTGATCAAAACAAAGTCCCTGGGACTTCCCTGGTGGCACAGTGGTTAAGAATCCACCTGCCAATGCAGGCGACACGGGTTCAATCCCTGGTCCAGGAAGATCCCACATGCCACGGAACAACTAAGCCCGTGTGCCACAAATACTGAGCCTGCGCTCTAGAGCCCGGGAGCCACAACTACTGCAGCCTGTGTGCCTAGAGCCTGTGCTGCGCAACAGGAGAAGCCACCGCAATGAGAAGCCTGTGCACCACAATGAAGAGTAGCCCCCGCTCACCACAACTAGAGAAAGCCCACACGCAGCAACGAAGACCCAATGCAGCCAAAAAAAAATTTTTTAATGAAAAAAAAAATAAAGTCCCTGCCCTCGGAACATTCTAGTAAAGAAACAGACAATAAACAAGTATGTAAAATATCATATGCTATTAGGTAACTCAAACCCAGAAAGGCAGGATAAGGATGATGGGGCCGAGAGGTTGGGTGAGACGGTGTGTGAGTACTGTTCCATATCGGGTGGTCAGGGGAAGACTCTGATGGATGACATTTGAGTGAAGACCTGAAGAAAGTGAAGGGACCGGCCCTGTGGATGATGGGGGTGAGGTGTTTCAAGCAGAGAGAATAGCAAATGCAAATCCCTAAGGCAGGAATGTGCTTGGTGAACTCGGCACAGTGAGGAAGTGAGGGTGGCCAGAGAACAGTTAGCTGAGCTGCGTGGTTAGCAGTAAGGTGCGGGAGGTAACAGGGCCCAGGAGGGCACTGCAGGGACTCGGGCTGCTGCTTTGCATGAGATGGAAGGCTGTCATGGGGCTCTGAAGAAGAGGCACGTGATCTGACTTAACTTTGAAAAGACAGGCAGCCCTCTGCTCTGTGGAGAAGACGGTGGGCCCGGGTGGGGGGTGTGACGGAGGAGGACAGAGGCAGAGAGGCCGCTCAGGAGGCTGTTAAGGCAATCGGTTCAGGCACCAGGTGATGGGGGCGGGGCCAGAGTGGTGGTAGATGTGGTGAGAAGTGACTGCAGGTATTTTGAAGGTGGAGCTGCTGATGGATGCGAAGGTGAGAGAAAGAGGAGTCAAGATGACTCTGAAGTTTTCTACTTGAGTAACGAGAAGGATGAAGTTACCATTTAGTGATGGGGGATGACTCAGAGGAACAGGTTTAGTTGGTTGGAGTGGGGGGCACAAACCCACTTTCAACATGTTCAGACCAGTGGGATGTGGGTGTCATTTTAGACACCTCAGATGTCAAGTAAGAAGTTGGCCATTCAAGTTTGGAGTTTAGGGGAGAGGTCTGGCCTAGAGATACAAATGTTGGGAGTCATCAGTGTATTAAAACCATGGGACTGAATGAATCACCTTCTGGGTGGAGGTGAGGGTAGATGGAGAACAGGAGAGCTCAGGAGCCTAAGTGCCGGGCCCCAGCATTAGAGGACAGGGCATCAGGAGGAAGCAGCAGAGGAGACTGCTAAGAAACACCGAGGAGATGAGAGTGTGAACCAGACATTCTGAAAGCCAAGGGATGAAAGTGTTTCCAGAACCGTATCAGACGCTTCTGGACATCAAGTACACGACCATTGGGTGTATAACGTGGCAGTGGTCATTGTGACCTTAACAGAGCAGTTCGGGTGAAGTGCCAGGAAGCACCACTGAGTGGTTCAGGAGGGAATGGGAGAGGAGTGGAGCCAGTGAGCAGAGGCAGTGCTTGTGGGGTTTGTTCTAAAGGGAAGGGAGAGAGTGGGCTGTGGCTGGAGGGAAATGTGGAGTCACGGGGGGTTTTGTAAGATGTGTGATGTAGCAGTGTGTTAATATGCTGTCAGAAGTTACCTCCTGAAGAGAGCAGAAGCGATGCTCCGGAGATGAGAGAGACATTTACTGGAGTGAAGTCCTTGAGAAGGAAAAGGAAGACAGAATGTAGTGCCTTAGAGGTGTAGAAAGCCCCAACTTGGCAACGGGAGGAAGGGCAGATCTACACAGGTTTGGGTAGGTTGGCAGCTGAGTGATGTGAAAATCACCAGGAATTGTGACAGGACCATCGTATGGGAGAGCGTGACAGTGGCTACAACTCTTGAGAACCAGCATGGGAGGACTGACCGGCAGTTCTGTATGGATCTCCAGCAAACAGATGGGGATGGGAGGTGGTATAGTGTTCCAGGAGCTGCAGACCTGGAGACTTTTAGGGAAGATCAAGGGACAGTGATCTGGAAATGGCATTAAGGAGCAAGGAGGACCTCTCTTAAGGCCAAGGAGGAGGACGGGTGTGGGAGAGAAATAGTCACTGCTTGGGGTCTGCAAGGGAAATAGCGCTCTCAAGGGAGAGCTGGGCTGCCGCCAGAGCACAAGGTGGAGGGAAGGTTTGGAGGTTGAAGATGTCGAGGTTTTGCTGATGAGTAACAGGGCACATGGAAGGGTCTGGGAGAGATGGGAGTCAGGATTATACTAAGGGGATGTACAGAGCTACATGGTGACAGGAGTCCAGGGGATGAGAGATGACCTGGCAGTCCTGAGCTGCCCGGTGACGAAGGACAGCAGGAGTAACAGGCCTGATGGAGATGGCGCTGCTGGTCTTTAAGGCAGTCGGGGATGAGGCTGAGTGTTGGAGAGGAGCAGGCAGGTGGATCTGGAGGGGGCCGGGGAAGGGTGGTCTTACTGGGATTAGGAAGACGATCAGCGTGGAGCTGTGGGCGCAGGGCCTGCAGGTGGTGCGTCTCTGCTTCTCTGTCTGGGCTGTTGTCATAGTCAGGGAGCCCAGGGCAAAAGGCACTCCATATCCTAGAAGAATGTTCGAAACACAGAACTACAGTTGCCCGAGGCCAGAGGCTGAATTGAAGGCCTGGGAGCTAGTTTCTGACATTGTGTTGATTGGGGAAGAAAAAGGGAAGATTGTAAAGTTTACCAAGTACTTTCCCATCTTAGATCCTGCCTGGTCCTCAGGACAGCCCTGTGCAGAGGGGAACACCAAGGCTCAGAGAGGCCAAGTGATTTGCCCAAGGTCACACAGCTAGGAAAGTGACTTTCCTAGGTCTAGGAAAGACCTAGCTCTAGGTCTTTTGTTCTTCCTAGGCCACCGTACTTCTGCCCCCAAGCCCCCTTGCCCTCTTCTCTGGCCAGGGAAGGGCTCCTTTGGGGAGGGGACCAGGAGGAGGCTTGTTAGCTGAGTCCAGACCCTGCTGCTGAGGCAGGAATATCCAGTCTTCCCTTCTCCCACATACCTTGGTCCGTAATTCTCGTAGTTCTTGTTGTGAAGCTCTGAATCTTTTTTCTCTTCCTCCCTTCTCTCTTCTTCCCTCCCCCATGCTGCAGTACATGCTGTGGAGAGTAAGTGGCCCTGCCCTCCCAGGGAGACCAAGCCCCCATTTCTGGGGCAGCCTGCCCTCCCAGGATGGGCGGAGGTGTGGATGGGCGGGATGGCTGCCCGGTGACTATAAAAAGCAGTGGGATGTATCTTTTAGGTGGGGTTCCTTGTAGCAGGGAGGGATCAGGGTTAGAGGGCAGGAAGAGCTTGTTCTGGAACAGAGGGTGCAGGTTGCCTGTGGGATTTCCTTTGGTGGGTTGAGGGTGAGGGCAGAGGAGGCAGGGAAAGAGCTTGGACCACATTCTCAGGTCCCACCTCACTCTGGGGTTCAGCGATTGGCCATCGGCTCTCGTTAAACCTGAGTCAGTGGGTTTTCTTTCCTGAGATGCAGGCAGGGCCTTGGTGGGAGCAAAGGCCTGGAGTGATGCCTGTGAAGGGCTCCCTGTGTATGTGAGGGAGGAAGTGGGGCCTGTGGAGGGCATGGACTCTCACGCAGGCCTGCGGCAGGCCTTCTGGCTGCCCTCAAGCAGGGCCAGACTGGTGAGTGAATGAGGGGTAGAGGACGAGACAGGTGGGTCACAGCCCAGAGGGAGGAGTGAGGAGGCCCAGGCGAGGGTGTGGGGAGCCTGCTCCGCCTGCTGACATCTTCTCCTTTCTCTCCTAGTCCATGACCTGCAGAGCTTTGGCCTCGACAATGTACGTACCAGGTAGAAACCATGGAGGGTGGGTGGAGGTGGAAGCATGCTGCTGCCTTCATTCTCTGTAGAGACATCCTGGGGTGGGGAGCAGATATAGAAAAATAAACCATGTTCTGACAGGGGGTGCAGTCTGAGGGTACTGGCGGTGACTTTTGAACTGAGATCCGCGTGGGCTGGAGACAGGGGATGGGCTTGGACAAGAGCATCCGGGAAGAGGGAGCCTTGGGGTGAGGTCAGGAGGGTTGGGGCACTTCTAAGGAACAACAGGGCCATGTGGTTGGATGAGGATGAGGCTGGAGGGTTGGCAGGCCGGCCAGGGGGTCTGGACTTTCTCCCAAGCAGTTGGGAGGCTGTTGGCTTACCTTAAGCAGGGTTATGACATAATCAGATTTGCACTTTTTTAAAAGATCCCTCTAATGGCTGTTTGATCTAGACAGGAGCAGGACAGGCGCCGGAGCTGGGAGATCTGGGGCGCCTCCAGGCAAAGCCAGCACCTGCCACACAGGGCCCATGTCCAGTCTGTGCTTGGCTAATGGGTGGGTGCAGCCAGAGCCTCAAACTCTGGAGCCCCAGGAGCCCTCAGACCCTGAGGAAGGAGTTCCTAGGTGGGGTGGGGGTGCCTCTCTCAAGCAGGTTCTCCTAGGCAGGGCCCAGCCCTTGGCCTATCTCTACACACCCACTCCCCAGACCCAGGTGCCCCTGTCTGCTCCTGTCTGAAGAGCCTTTGAGAGGGAGGGGCCTTTCGGGGCCTCGAGTGCTCCAAGACCCAGGAGCTGGTGTTGCTTGCAGATCAACATGACCCACTACATCCAGCACCTGTCATTCGGGGAGGACTACCCAGGCATTGTGAACCCCCTGGACCACACCAACGTCACTGCACCCCAAGGTACCAGCCTGGGAGGTAGCCTCCAGCTACCCAAGCCCTGCCTGCACCCACGCCCAGTGCCCTCTTCTCCCTGCAGCCTCCATGATGTTCCAGTACTTTGTGAAAGTGGTGCCCACGGTGTACATGAAGGTAGATGGGGAGGTGAGTCTGAGGGAGCTCAGACATCCGGCACCCTCTTGGTGCCAGGCACCTGAGTTCCTTCAAGCTGGGAAGCGGAGTCCTGCTCTTATCCCCATATGATGGGTGACAAGGTGAGGCTCAGAGAGGGTAGGTGATTTGCCCTCACAGCCAGAGCTCAGGCCCCAGGCTGTCAGATTTCAAAGCACTTTTCCTACTTGCCCAAAGTACCTCCATCCACTCCTCCCGTGTCCACTCTCTGTCTGCCTCACTGTCCCCCGTTATCTGCCCTGAGCCGGGAGCTAGCAAGGTCAACCCTCCCGTGCCCCTTCCTCCTGTCTCTGCTGTGGCCTGTGGAGCAGCATCTCTGCAGACTGGTAGAATGCAAGCAACTGAGCAGAGAGGAAGTCAGGCCCAGCCTCGCCAGGAGCTTGTGGTACAGCCTTGGAGAATTACTTCTCGCCCCTGGACCCCCATTGAGAGGGTCCACCAAACGTAGCTGGGATTGAGAAACTGTAAAGAGCTGGCGACTGGAGGGGAAGCTGGGATGGTCAGGCTGGGAGAGGGCATCTAGGTGGTCCCCAGGCCTTGCAGTGTTTGTTTCCAACGTGGGGCCTCGTTTTCTCCTCCACACAGTCAAGGCACTGCAACACCAGGGGTAGGAGCAGGGGTGGGGCGGCAGGGTTGGGAGCCAGGTCATAGACCCAGCCCTGGCCCAGGCTCCCCTCCCGTCCCAGGTGCTGAGGACAAATCAGTTCTCTGTGACCAGACATGAGAAGGTCGCCAATGGGCTGATGGGCGATCAGGGGCTTCCTGGAGTCTTCGTGCTGTACGAGCTCTCGCCCATGATGGTGAAGCTGACGGAGAAGCACAGGTGAGGGCGGGGGAAAGGGAGGGGCCTGGGCCGGCAGGGAGTGGGGTGCCTGCTGACCCTCCCCCGCCCCTCTGCCAGGTCCTTCACACACTTCCTGACAGGCGTGTGCGCTATCATCGGGGGCATGTTCACAGGTTAGAAGCTCGAGGGTGTCTGTCTGGGGTTCAGGGCTTGGTGGGGAGTGTAAAGCTTGACTCCCCCCACTAGGTTTTGGTTGAGGGAGGAGGGGCACTTCAAGGGCCAAGGGTGGGGATGCTGGCCTGGCCAGTCAGGTGACAAGGCCCGGAGGTCAAGCCAAGAGCCCACCTGGGCCAGTGCCAGCCCTCGTCTCTCTCCCCAGTGGCCGGACTCATCGACTCTCTCATCTACCACTCGGCTCGAGCCATCCAGAAGAAAATTGATCTAGGGAAGACAACATAGTTGTCCGTCCCTTCCCCCGCAACAAGTCCCTGTTTTTCTTTGGCCTTGTGGTCATTTTCCCAGCCTCTTACCCCACCCACCCCGCACACCCCCTCTGCAGAGAGTCAGTCGCAGCCCCAGGTTGGTAAATCTATCAATTGTGATAGTACTCACTGGTCTCTGTGTGGTTCGTGGGTCTGGCTGGAGCGTGGGAACAACCCTAATCACAGCCACTTATCAAAGGCAGTCAGGACTGACTTTTCAGAGCCAGGTGCCTCTGGGAGCCCCACGTGGATGTCCCTGCTTAATAGGACTTGATTCAAACCAGACTGATGTTCATTCCACAGCCCCACCATCAGTCCCTCCCACCGTGGCCTTCAGGCCTTTTGGGTTCAGCCCCAGGGCTTAGATGGACCTGTCCAGGATGAGCTTCCTGGAGTCATCCTGGCCCCCAGCCTTGTGAGTTTCCGACCCCACTGGTAATAGGCCCTGGCTGCAGGCTGGGGATTGCCACCTCAGTGGTGGCTAAAGCTGGGGCCCCTCCCTGCCACCCTGGGCTCAGTCACTTGATCCCCTCCTGCTCACTGACCCTGCGACGTGCCAAGTGCCTGCTGGCTCCTGGTGCCCAGAAGGGTACAGCTAGGTCCTTTGCAATTTCCTGGGTGTACATAGAACTGAAAAGCGGGGAGGGAAGGTAGCGGTGGCCATTCTGAAGCAGGGCTAGCATCAGACTCTGGCTCTGGACCTAGTCAGGCCTTCCCATTACAGCCCTTAAGATGTGTCGGGAAACCGGCCCTGAGACCTCACCACTGCACAGCCCAGGCAACCAGGGACATTAGTAGCTGGTCAGTTCAGCCAGTCATTTCTCAGGGAGTTTCAGTGTAAGACAGTAGTGGGGGGAGAAGCGGAGGACAGAAAGCAGAGTAGGGCAATGACAGCAAAACTTCTGGAGGCAGCCAGACATGAGACCCAGCTCTGATGTGGCCACTTACGAGCTGTGACCTTGGACGTGTTATTGGTGGACCCTTGTCTCATTTATGAATTGCGGGTGATATTGTCAGCTGTAGTGAGCCTTGTTTTTTGGTCACCCGGAAACCATTCCCCCTTGTTAACGGTATCCTGGGTTTCCTCTGGGAACCTCCCTGCCCACTGTCAGCTTGTGTGATTTGGGAAGAGGGCTGATCTCCCTCCCTAAGCCCCAGAGGAGGGCCCCAACCAGCATATCCCATCCCACACCCCCACCCCAGTGACCCAGAGCAAGCTAGCATCTGTCAGGCCTAGGAAAGCTTTCTTTCCTTCTGGACATGAGTATGGGGAGACATGGGGTTGCTGCAGCCATCCTGCACTTCCGAGGAGAGACCCTGTCTGCAAATGAGCTTCCCCTGAGGACTGCAGCGCCAAGCTCAGGCAGAGAACCAGTCCTGGTGACATTGTTTGAACCCTGAGACAAAATGCACCTGAAGCCAACCAATTCCTGGGAATTACAGCTGTGTAAGCCAATAAATTCCCTTTTTGCTTAAGCCAGCTTGGGTTAGGATTTCTGTCACTTGCAGTCAAGTGTCCTAAGTGATCTGCCTCCTCTCAGGGTCGGTACAGGTTCACGGAGCACATAAAGGGTTTAGCTGCCATGGAGCAGCACAAGCCACAGCAGTTGGGGTGAGAGAGACCCAGCCGCTGGCATGAGCAGGCGCAGCAGGTGGGCCGCTCACCGCGGGGCCCTGTTCTTCCCGGCAGTAGGGCCACGTGGGCAGCCTCCCATCCTGTGCATTCATGCGCCCGAGGCCACCCAAGAACACATCTGTTCTCTGCCCCTAGTGTCATTTATTATCTGCAGCATGTGTTCAGGGGACAGGGTGGATACCTCGTAAGGTTTACACAGAGAAAGCAGGAAACGCCAGGATGGTTCCTGTTGGTGGGAAGGACACCAGGGGCAGGAGTTGAGGAGCTGGCATTACGGGATGAGTGTCCAAGGTCAGTCAGGGGCGGTGGAGGGGGCGGACGGTGACCTGGCTGATCAGGCCAGGCCTGGTGTAGGAGACGAGGAGGAGGAAGACAGTGATCAGTGCCGCCAGCAGCAGCAGGATGCGCCAGCACCAGCGCCAGACGAAGAAGACGGAGGTCTTCAGCGGGTTCACAAACCAGCTGAAGGAGGTTTTGGGGCGGCTGCGGGGAAGCAGGTGGTGTTGGAATGATGAGGAAGCCCCCCAGCTGCCCCCTCCCCCCTCCCCCAGGCTCTGGCCCCGCCTCCTGCACCGCACCCCCCACACCCTTGGGCTTCTCCTAGGGCTCTGGCTCCTTGCGCCTCTTTCCCACTGGACGTTTCTCAGCCTCCTCCACAGTCAGCAGCTCAAACTCAGCCTCCACCTTCCCCTGGAAAAGGGGCGACGGAAGCCAAGTTCTTAGGCCGGCTCAGGCCTGGCCCCTGCCTGGCCCGGTTCCTGCCCTGGCCGCACCCACCGTGAGGATGTAGACGTTGCCTCCTGAGTCCGAGAACTCTTAAGTCTTATGGCCGGCCCTTCTACCTCTCCCTCTTCTTGCCAGCCTGAGTTTCCGGCGCCTGCAGCTTCACTACAGGCCACCAGCGCCGCAAGCGGCGGCAGCGAAACAGATTACGCCTTGGCGCCGTCCCGGACCAGCCACACGGAGCAGAGCTCGGGGCCCCAGGCCCCTCGCACCATGTCCGGTAGCTGCAGCTCCAAGGATCCTGCAGGTCCAGAGCTCTTGGGGTTAGGCAGAAGCTCAAGGTCTATCTGAACGAACCTCCCTCCCTGAGACTGACATCAAGGAAAGCCGAGCCCAGAGGCAGAAAGTGACAAGATGGCTAAGAGCATCTTGGGGGAGGGGCAGCACAGCGGGATTGTAAATCGGGGCATCCAAAGTTAGAATGTGGCAGTCAGGCCACAGCTATGGACCACACACCACAGCCCAAATGTCAGCAGGTTGTCAGACCCTGATGATACAGGGCCCAAGGACGGGACCAGACCGCCAAAGCAAGGGACTAAAGGCCATGGAGTCAAGAGTCCAGTGTAACCCGAGCTCAGGTCAAATTAGAGGATTGAGTGGGAGATTTGGGTGGAAATGGAGGTTATGGTGCTCAGAGCTGAGTAAATTCAGTAATTAGGCCAGAAAGCAGACCTAGAGTCTGAAATCCAGGACTGAGGATTGGGTTAGAGTAGGGAACCCAGGGGAGAGGGGACAGGGCAATGAGGGCAGAAATCGGGGCCAGGGGTTGAGGTAGGAGGGCAGCTAAGCAGTAGCAAGGAAGTCGTTCGTTGGCGGAGATGCAGTCATAGTCCCAGACCTGCAGGACCAGCACAGACGGCTGCCGGAACTCAGCTTCCTCCAGGGCAAAGGGTCCAGGCCAGCAACGGACGCTCACCTCTCGCTCGGTGGGCAGGTAGTCAAAGCGGAACATGAAGCGCCGTTGAAGTCCCCTCCCTGGTCAGAGTTGAAGTGAACGTCTGTCTCCTGCTAGTCTTGCTGCAGCCCCTTCAACCAGCTGGAGCCAGGGGAAAGGTGCAGGCGGAGGGGATGGGCATCCGTGCTGGACGGAGCCCAGAAACCGGCTCCTCACCTAGCCTGCCCCTCCACTCACCACCAGACTGGTCCCTCCACCCAGCTCCGGGCGCCATCGAGGGCTTAGGGGTCAGGGCTCTGGCTCAGCCCAGGGCCCAAGTCCCTGTTCGAAATCTCATCTCAGTGCACAGCCATGTGCCCGCTCGGCCTGTAGGCCTACCTTTTCACATAGATGTCACTCGACATCTCTCCATTGAGTGGGTTTGCATCATCCAGAACTACACCCTCCGTGTTCCAGATGATGACTCTGAGCTCATAGCTGAGGGATGTATTGGGAGAGGGTTTTCAGACTCTCGAGAGGGGTCCTGGGAGGGGCTGCAGGAAGGACCTGGGCCAGAGCCACTGACATGCATTGAGCACCTGATGTGTGCCCAGCCGGGTGATCAGGATGTCTGTGGTCCCTTGAAGGGACAGCCCCAGGTATCACTGACCACCCCCACCCCACCGGATGGCACCAGGAATGGTCTGCTGACGCAAGCTGAGCCAATGGGCTTCTCCCGCCCATAAATTTGGAATCAAGACCCTGAAAGGTTGACTCAAAAAGCATCAGATGCAGAGCTGGAGCCACCACAAGCCAAAGTGCTGTGCAAGCAGAGAGAGACAGTCTGCAGAGAGACACCAAGTGGGGATGACAGCATGAAGCCCCTGGGGGACAGAAGGAAGGGCTGTGACATTCTTGATCCTACCCCAAATAGCCCTGTCCTTGTCTGTCATGAGGTTTCCTAGATATCTATTGTTTTCTTTTGCCCCATATCAATTTCCCCTCACTTGTTGACAGCACTTTGATTTTCTGTTGATGACTCCCACTCCACCCCCACTACTGTCAGTCTGTGTGATCCTGGCGGGGCGGACCAACCCCTCTCTGGCTCCAGAGGTTGGTATATCACCTACGACATCACCCAGGACTGGCCAGTCAATGCATTACAGCTCCCTGATCACAAAGATTGGTTCAGGAATCAGCATTTGACCCAAGCTGGTCCAATGAGAGTCAGCTTGAGACTTTTGCTCTAACTGGGAAAGACGTGGGTTTTTTTCCTGCTCAAGTAGTCCAGTTGGTAAGATGTAAGCCTCCACTGTTAAAAGCCACTTTGACGCCAGATTTAAGTCTCCATGAGAGTGACACCAAGGAAAGCAGAGCCCAGAGGTAGAAAGTGACAGATTGCTGACATCTGAAATGCACGCACCCTCCACTCAGAGTAGCTCAGGTCAAAAGGGGGTTAACAGGGATTTGGACTGTTTCAGTTGCAAGTGACAGATATCCAACTCACAATGGCTTATAAAAAAAAAAAAAAAAGGGAATTTAATGGCTCACCTACCTGAAGCTTGGATCAGCTCTGCCTGCTTCATGGGGGCCCTTGCACAGGTTTTCAGAGCACCCTTGTCCAAGATGTGGGCTGTCCAAGATGTGCCCACCCCATGGGAGGACGGACCAGGACTCTCTTACCTGATTGGCTGCCGAGGCTTAATGTCAGCTGGAGGTGGGGCAGGCACATCTCGGGGGAAGATGTCAATCCACACATGAAGGGATCCCTGGGGGCACAGGAAGAGGCTAAAGGGTCTTGCTGGGCCCCACCCCCCTAACGGCCCTGTGGCCAGAGGTTGTGCCTTGCCCCAGGTGGAGAGAAGAGCTAGGGTCAAGAGGGCAGATCCTGGGGTATGAGGATGAAGGTGGAGTCTGAACTGGGAATTCCAGAGTTGAGGTTAGCCTGAGGGTTCAGAGATGAGGCCCCAGAAGTGGAAGGTTGAGATCAAAAGTAAGATCTAGTGCTCCCAGGTCCAGATCCTAGGAATCTGGGGTAGAGGTCAGGTTGGGAGTGCCAGGTCTGAGCCTTGGTGGCCCAGGGGTGGGGATCCTTCAGAACCAGAGTCCAGGGTGTGGGTATGGGGTCCAGGATGGAAGTCCAAGACTGGAGTGGGGATGCTGGGCACCAGGATCAGGAGCCGAAGTCCGAAGTGGCAGTGCCCAGGTGGAGGTCTTGGAGAAAGGGCGTCCTGGGGGCCCAGGTCCAGCACCAGGTGGGAGTCCTGGGGTTCTGGGGTTGGGTGCTGAGCCCTCCTTCAACTGCAGCAGCCCTGGGCTGTGGCGATGGTAGAGGGGCTGTGTTTCTACGTGCTCAGGTACCAGCTGGATCCCAAGCCCAGGCGTCTCCTGCCAGTGCCGCAGCACCAGCAATGCCTGGGGCTCCTCAGGGACCTCACTTGCCACCTCGGAGTCCCCACTATCTGCAACAAGAGGTGTGTGAGCTTGGGTTCTGCACAGTTCCCAACTCTCTTCCCTTCCTCCCCCTGCCCTCAATAGACGCTCTAGGCTGAGGCAACTGCTGCATTGGACAAACCCATGGGCTGGGAGGGCAAGTCCACAATGCACAGAAAGCTCTAACAACTTTTGCCAGTGAAAAGCCAGCAGTCAGGGGGACAATGGGATTGGAGGCTTTGTGGCCTTTGTGCAGACCTTGTTTAGAGAACAGACCACTGGCCATATATGAAGCATGAGCTAAATTCTGCATCCATATTTTATGTTGTATGGGACCCCTGTGTCCCCAATTAGCTATGGCTCTGAGGGGTTCGCTAGGGCTCCCTGGAGATCTCACACTCACCAACAAAGACCATTTTCTCTCCACTATCATCCTTACTCAGCCAAGACTCACCTCCTCTGCTTGCAGAGGGAAGCGGGCTCTTTGTGGGGCACACTAGGCTGGGCACCAGGGTCCCCCTGTACCTTGTTCTTCCATCTTGCTCCCTCTGGACTGTGCAGCGGAGAGGGGCTGGTACCTGGGGGCAGGGTCTCTGGCGGTGTCAGAAAGAGTTTGCTGCCCACCTTGATAGCCCCGGCTCGGTATTCAGGTGTGGGGAGGCCACAGGGTAGGCACAGCACCGCCAGGATCTGCGAAGGCCGAAATGCGTCACGCCAGGCACTGTAGCCATCCCTGCGGCAGAAAAGGAATGTGCCTCAGTTGGATCCAGCATATGAACGTACTTGGGCACAGGGGCAGTGATGGGTGCCCTTGAGGACTTGGGACCCAGGTTTGTAACTCCTCTGTGGGACAGGTTAGCCCTCACTGATGGTAACGGTGAAAATCAAATATGCGTGGCAGGTGCTCCTATGAAGGAGATACTGATATTACCCATCTTTCAGATGAGGAAACTGAAACTCAGGAAAGCCAAGTGACTTGTCAGTTACAGGATCCCAACTCCCAAGCCCATTTCTTGACCATTAAGCTATAATGTCTTGGTCGCAGGGGAGTCCCCTTCTATGAAATCAAAGGATCTGGACAGACAGGTGGGATGCGAACTTGAATGTCTTTGGTCAGACTTAGAATGACTCCTGAGGGCCCTGTTGGACTCACGTCATACTGGGACGCCAGCCCACAGTTCGCCCTGTGGTGGCTATAGAATCAGTTTTCCAGATCAATGTGGGTCTCTCTGATGAGGTCATCAGAACCCACGAGGTCATGATCAAACACAGCCTCAGCAGGGAGAGAGATGCTGAGCTCTAGGGCCCTGGCCAGGAGAGAGCGTGATGAGAACACCTCCACACCCTACAAGGTGGCCTTGTGAGGGGTAGGGGTGTGAGGGGACTCAACAGCTTCTGTCCATTCCCCCACACCACATCAGCTGCCTGAGTGAGAGCCACAGGGTGGGATGGCAAAGTTGCTCTCCATTCCCAAGCCCAGGGCCCAGCCTCACTCTCCAAAGATGGGGTTCAGCTGCTTGAGGATGTAGCGCTCCTTGATGTCCAGCCGCTCCTGGCCAGCGCTCACCACCACATAGGGGTCTGCTTTGCCGTTGGCATCCGCAGGAGCCAGGTTGGTAGCCTAGGGAGACAGTATGGGGTGGAAATGAAAGAAATGTCATTGTCATAACCCAAGGTGGCTCTTGCCGGACCTAACAGGAAGTTACCAGGGAGAGATCTTCCACCTCAAGGAGTTAGCTGAGAGGTTGCACAAGATGACTTTTATTTACTTTTAAATTAATTATTGAAATACTTAAGACATACAAGTAAGTATAACAAAAGATATAATGAAACAGAAAATATGTGGAAAGATGTATACCCTTATATATCTTACTATTCAATTTGTAACTTTCCATATTGTTTGACCTTCATTTTTTTACAATGAGCATATTTTACATTTTATTCCTTTTTTTTACTTTTTAAATTAAGAATATTTTAACTAAATAAAAATAATTACAATTTTTTAATTGTATTAAAAAATAATACAATGAGCATGTGTGTGCCCAGCTTCATAAATTAAACACTACCGACAAATGTCCCCTGAGTCCCCTGAGTCCCCCGACCTGACTTAATTCCTTTTTCATCCCTGAAGTAGCCAGACCCTTTATTTGGGGTTTCTCACTCACAGAAAAAAAAAGGAAAAATACTTTTACGACATATACATACGTCCCTAAGCAATATACAGCACTATATTGCATGGTTTAAACTATATTTAGTAAACTTACTTTTTCTGTTTTTGATAACTATGTAATTAGGTAAATTCATAACTTATGCATAAATTACTGAAGTATAATTTATACACAGCAATATATTTTTAGTCTTTTTACACTCCTACCTGCCATGTATGAGAGTTCCCGTTGCCCCACATCTTTCACAACACTTGGTATCATCAGTCTTTTTATTTTCGTCAATCTAGCGCTTGTGAAATTGTAGCTCATTGTGGTTTTAATTTGCATTTCCCTGCTGATGAAGCATGTTGAGCATCTTTGCATGTGCTTATTGGCCTTATATATATATTTGCTTTTGTGAAGTGACTGTTCAAATTTTTTGCTCCATTATTGAGTTTTAAATTTAAAAACATTACACTTTTAATTTCTAAACATTCTAACTGGGCCTTTAAACTTGCTGTTTATTTTTAGTAGTCTCTTGTTCCTTGCTCATTTTAAATTCATTCTTTTATTTCTTTAAACATTTCATATATACTTATTTTACATTCTCTATCTAGTCATTCCAATATCAACGACCTTGGGGGTCTGAATGTGTTGTTATTTTTGCTAATTCTTACTCATGGTGACTTTTTTTTAAAAAAAAAGCTTTATTGGTGTATAATTGCTTTACAGTGGTGTGTTCATTTCTGGTTTATAACAAAGTGAATCAGCCATACATATACATATATCCCCATATCTCCTCCCTCTTGCGTCTCCCTCCCACCCTCCCATGGTGGCTTTTTTCTTCATATTTCAGTACTTTTTAATCATGATTCATATTTGGTTTAACTCATGCTGAGGGGCTGTTGTGGGTGTTCTCTGCCAGAGAGAGCTTGTTTTCACTCCTGCCAGTTTCCTGGGCAAACTACCAACCTGCAGCCACTTTAAAATAAATCGTCCACTTGAGGTTTTGGGGATGACACAGATGGTGGGAACTCAGGCCCTGAACTGTATTAGAGCCAGCTTGTGGTCATGGATGCTAGGGGAAACTTTTTCCCCTCTAACCAATGCCAAGTTTAAGACAGGCAAGTTTCCTTGGTGTCTCCTCCTGCCTTTCAAGTTCCTATTTTTGTTCATCCTTATGCAGAGGGTGTAATTTTGGGGGCTCCACTTTATATAAGGCGGTTCAGTCAAACTGCTCCCCTAGGTAGCCCCAGGACTTCATCTTCTGTCCTCACTGCCTGTCAACCATCCACGAGGAAGATGAGGTTTCCCAGGTCAGCAGTAAGTGTGGGGTGAAAGCCAGCTTTAGCATTCCTTTTCCCTAGGTCCCTGTTATTAACTATATTTTCTTGTTTTCTGTAATCTTGATGCTGTGGTATCTGGAGCCATACTGACCCGGGAGAAACTGCACCTGCCAGGGCTACTAATTCCTAGAGTTAGCAAACAGCACACCTGCCAGAGCACCTTTCATATACAAACCAACCAATCTAGAGCCCATACAATGTCCAACCACCTCCTCTATCTGGCTCTTATACTCCAGGAAGTAATATTCCTCTGCCCTAATCATCCTCAGGGCCAGGTTCCAGACAACAAGAGACAGTGAGACAGCCCCCGTACCCCAGAGCCCACAGGAATTATTCAAACTAGCCAATCCTAAGCCTGCTTACACTGCCTTGCCCTGCCTTTCCTACAGAAACCACAATAAAGGCTCTGGCCTTCACACTTCCCTTCCTCCTTCTGCCTCTGGACTGGCCCTCATGCTTCCCCGTGTGGCCCTGCAGGGTACAGCATGCACCCCGACCCCCAGAAAATTGAAACAACAGACTATCTTTTCAATGGCAACCATCTCCTGATCTGTTGGCTTCACCAAACATGGATAAGAACAAAATCCTGGGTACGTTTTAAAGCAGTTCCTGCTTTTATTTTGTTTTTTGTTTTTTTTTTTCCACTCTAAAATCTCTTACTTTCTTGGAAGCTCAGCATTGCGTTTAAAAGATTTTTTAAAATAAATTTATTTACTTATTTATATTTTATTTTTGGCTGCATTGGATCTTCATTGCTGTGCACGGACTTTCTCTAGTTGCGGCAAGCAGGAGCTACTCTTCGTTGTGGTGCGTGGGCTTCTCATTGTGGTGGCTTCTCTTGTGGCAGAGCACGGGCTCTAGGCATGTGGGCTTCAGTAGTTGTGGCGCACAGGCTTAGCTGCTCTGCGGCATGTGGGATCTTCCTGGACCAGGGCTCAAACCCGTGTCCCCTGCATTGGCAGGTGGGTTCTTAACCACTGTGCCACCATGGAAGTCCTAAAAGGTGTTTTTAACAGTATGAAGATTCCTCAAAACACTAAAAATAGAGTTGCCATATGATCCAGCAATCCCACTCCTGGGCATATATCCTGAAAAAACTATAATTCAGAAACATACAGGGAGGGCTTCCCTGGTGGCACATTGGTTAAGAATCTGCCTGCCAATGCAGGGGACACAGGTTCAAGCTCTGGTCCGGGAAGATCCCACATGCTGTGGAGCAACTGAGCCCGTGTGCTACAACTACTGAGCCTGCACTCTAGAGCCCACAAACCACAACTACTGAGCCCATGTGCCACAACTACTGAGCCTGTGCACCTAGATCCCGTGCTCCACAACAAGAGAAGCCACCACAATGAGAATCCTGCGCACCACAACAAAGAGTAGCCCCCACTTGCCACAACTAGAGAAAGCCCACGCGCAGCAACGAAGACCCAATGCAGCCAAAAATAAAATTAAAAAAAAAAGATACAGGGAATTCCCTGGTGGTCCAGTGGTCAGGACTCTGCGCTTCCACTGTAGGGGGTACAGGTTCGATCCCTGGTCAGGGAAATAAGATCCTGCATGTCGCACAGTGCAGCCAAAAAAATAATAACAAGTAAATAAATAAATAAAATATAACCAAAAAAAGATACATGCACCCCTATGTTCATAGCAGTACTACTCATGATAGCCAAGACATGGAAGCAACCTAAATGCCCATCGACAGATGAATGGATAAAGAAGATGTGGTACATATACACAATGGAATAATACTCAGCCATAAAAAAAATGAAATAATGCCATTTGCAGCAACATGGATGGACCTAGAGATGATCACACTAAGTGAATTAAGTCAGAAAGAGAAAGACAAATGCCATATGATATCACTTATGTGCGGAATCTAAGAACACTTCGTATCAGTTGACAGAAACCTTCATTTTATTTTACAGCTGCATAGTACTCTGTTGTACAGATATAGCATAGTTTATTCAACCCTTCTGCTATGTATGGGCATTTAATAAGATTTGATTTTTAATGGTCTTCCATCTTTAGAAATTTTATTTTATTATTTTCAAAACTGCCCAATTTTTATAGCCTTTTGTTCTCTGCATGTGAAATCATTTTAAACTGTTTTAAACTGTGAAGTAATTTTAAGCTGTTTTATATTTCTAATATTTGAAAATTCTAACATCCAAAGCCCTTAGAGATCTAATTCTCTTTTGTGTTGTGCCTTTCTGACAAATTTTCCTGAGATTGTTTTCTTATATATTTTATAATTTGGGATTGTGAACCCAAATTTGGTTATCTAAATCTAGGGAAGTCTGTGAAGCCTGATTTGGGACTACTTTAAGCCAATCTCTCAACTTTGAGTTTTGTGGACTAAGCAGATAATAAAAATTCAAGTCTTAAATTAATGTGAGGGCAAAACTCTAATAGTATATCCTCAGGGAAGACATTTTTTCTATTTCCGCCAACTGGAACAGAGGCTGAGATAGACCATTTACCTTATAGGCTTCTTTCCCAGTGGGTGGGCTTCCTCTTGCCCACTTTTCACTGAGAGAAGAGTCCTTCCTGGGTGCTGCTTCGTGTAAGGGTCTTGGTTGTGTCTCCCACCTTGTATAGGCTATTAGATATTAGAACCTAAGGCTTGGGGTCCAGGTATGGACAAATCCTCTCAAGAGAATCTGACCTCAGGGCTTGTTCAGGGATTCCTGCTGTTTCCTCATTTTGGCCCATTGGGAATTCCCTTTCTTATGAGCTTAGCATTTGTTTAAAAGGTTGTTTATCTAGCATTTCTAGATCTATTATATCAAGAATTTATTTCAGACCATCTGGTCTGCAATGCTGCTAGAAGTAGAAGGTCCAGATGATGTCTACTGTCTGATGTAGGCGCTAGGATGCTTACATTATGGTAGAAGAGTGCCACAGAATGTTTCTTTAAATTACATCTTCGTCAGAAGGCCTATATTTAAACTAGATAAAAGTACAGCATCTGCTCTGTGCCGGGAGTGAAGGGGTAGCAACCCACTCATTCCCCTCACTCCCTGAGATGCCTTTAAGGAAACTGCAGGGCCCTGTTGAGCACTGTATGAAAACTGCAGCAATGGGAGGACCTGTACAAAGGTATTTGATGACAGGCCATCACAAAGCTTTACAGAGTTGTGCTCTTCCTGGAATTATACTCCCCATTCTATGAGACTAGAACTACAAATAAGGAATTGGGGCATCTAAGCTCTAAATTCAGGTTCTGCCGTGAGCAAGATGTGTAACCCTGTGAAGTCTCTTAAGTTTGTGCCTAAGATTTCCCATCTGAAAAATGAAAAAGCTGGACTCTGATCCCTTCAGTCTGTAGGTTTTGTGTACATTACCTATGCCGGAGTTAGAGGCATGCCAGGCCAATGGATGCTCACCTTTACTACATATACTCTGACTAAGAGCTTGATGGGCCGATTCTGTGTGGGATCCCCCTGGAGATCTGGGGATCAGAGAAGGACACTGCCTCTGATTCAGGGTAAATGAGGTAGGAGCCCAGGGTGGGATGGGGGGATATGGAGCAGAAAAAACACTGGTAAGACAGTCTTCTTCCTGCAGCCCCACTTACGCTCCCTGGTCCCCCATTCCTTCCCGAAACATACCTTGAACTTGCCCACAAGGTTTCCAGACCCTTCTTCCTCTCCATCTCCATCCTGACCTCCTTGCCCTCGATACAGGGGAAACACATTCAGCCAGGCTTCAAAGTGGTTAAACTCTTCTTCCAGGGAGCTGTTGTAAATATGAAAGGCGAGGGCCTTGATGACAGCTCGATGTCCAGAATCCAAGCAGAATCCCCTCTTGCAACACCCAGTTACCTTCAGAGTGGCGACTGCTTTTTTCTGGGACACACAGCCTTTGACTTCAGCCTTACCCTGGTCTTGGGCTTCCCCATCCACAGAAAGGAGATTGCCCCCATCTGGGAACAGCAGAAATGCCCCATTAGAAATACTGGTGTGGGGGGAGGGAGGGAGACACAAAGAGGAAAAACAAGAAAACCAATCTCTTACCTGAATCCCCAGCATCATCCAGAGCGCAGGTCAAAGATTCTTCCCTACCCTTTACCTCCTTAATCTACCCCTTTTCCAGGATAGGGAGTTGGAAAACTTTAGCTCAAGTTCCAGCTGGGTAAGCCACTTGCATTTTCAAAGCCTTAGTTTATCATATAGTCCAGATATGTAACCACCAGGTACATGTGGCTATTGAGCACTTGAAATGCATCTGGTCCAAACTGAGATGTGCTGGAAGTATAAACTACACACCAGATTTTAAAGACTAGTATAAAATAAGATTATAAAATATCTCATTATTGAGCTTTCCTGGGGACACAGTGGTTAAGAATTCACCTGCCAATGCAGGGGACACGGGTTCGAGTCCTGGTCCGGGAAGACCCCACATGCCGCGGAGCAACTAAGCCTGTGCACCACAACTACTGAGCCTGCGCTCTAGAGCCTATGCTGCGCAGCAAGAGAAGCCACCGCAATGAGAAGCCCTCATACCGCAACAAAGAACAGCCCCCGCTCACCACAACTAGAGAAAGCCCACGTGCAGCAACAAAGACCCAACACAGCCATAAATAAAATAAATCTGTTCATTTAAAAAATCTCACTATTAATTTTATAATGGTTACTTCTTGAAATGATACTGTAGATATACTAGGTTAAATAAAATATATTATTAAAATCATTTTCATCTGTTTCCTTTTACTTTTTTTTAATGTGGCTACTACAAAAGTTAAAATTACATATGTGGCTCACACGATATTTCTGTTGGACAAGACAGCTCTAGATAATGGAGTTAATAATCCGCAGCTTCTCAAATTGTTGTGAAGATGAGAAAAGATGGCTGTAACAAAGAGTTCTGAAAAACTGCAGAGCTCCATGTTTGATGAGATCCTTCTTCTTACCATTTCCCCTCCTCTGTCTCCAGTCCCTCCACCCCCAGAAGCCTGCTCTGCTCCCACCTGCCCCTGGAGCTCCTGCAGAGATGCATAGTACTTGGACCACCAGTCGAGCTCTTCAGGATCTGGGATGTCCTCCTCCAGCTCTGGGCCTTGATTCAGGAGGCCTCCCAAAGGGAGCTTCTTCAGAGGAGCCTGAGGGAGCAAGAACTCAGCACCTCTAACCTAGCACCACCCCAAGCCCCGCCAGTCCCTTCTCCACCCATCCCCCATACTCCATCACCTTTAGGAGCCACCTGAGTATCCCCACTTCAGCCAAGAAGGGATCCCAGGACCTCTGTTCTGAGAGGGGATAAAAGACACCAGGAGAAGGTCAGGTAAGTAGAAGTCAGACTCAGTGCCCCACTGGAAGGTCCCCTGGAGCCATCTCAGCCAGGAACCAGATGGACTTCCGTCTGGTGGCCCCTAAGGGGAAAGCCCCTTACCTTGAGGTACCTTGGGCACCAGGTCCCCTGTCTCCTCCTCTCCTTCCTCCTCAGGGGGATCCTCCTGACTCCAGAGTGTGACTCTCAGCATATGGGGGACAATGTGGGAACCCACGAGCACTGTGCGTCCAAAGGCCCAGCGCTCAATCACCAGGATGCTGAGGGGGGCTGCAGATAAGGCTGCTCTGGCAAGTCCTGGGGGTAGGGAGAGAGGACCTGTGGGGGGGGAGAGGCAGCAGCAGAGATAGATGAGAAAACAGTGTAGCTAAACATGCATTCAAAGCCCACAGCCTCACTGAGTCGTCTCTGGTGAGTCATTGCTTTCTGAACCCATTTCCCAGCTAAAAAGGGGACACAATCCTGGCCTGGAAAAACTATTGTATCAAATGATATAACAGTACAAAAATTCTTTGGAACCTACAAAGCGCCATCAGAAATATGAGGTTGTTGTTGTTATTATCATTATGTAAAGGACCAATCCTCAGATTGCTAATATAGATTTAGAACCATAAAACTATGCATGCTCTTTAATCCAGAAATTCTATATCTATCAATGGATCCTAAGCAGGGCCAGGGACAACAGTTATAACACTGTATTGTTGGCTTTATTTTACATATATGTGACAGTTACAGCACAAAAGGGGGGAGGAATGAATGGAGTTATGATGGAGAAAAGTATTTCTATTTTACTGGAACTAAATTAGTATTAATCTGAAATAGATTGTGAAAAATCAGTATGCATACTGTAATCCCTAGAGCAACTACTAAGTAAATATCAACTAAGGAATTAAAGCAGTATACTAACAAATATCTATGTAATACAAAAGAAGGCAGTAAAGGAAGAACGAAAAATATGAGACTTATAGAAAACAAATAGCAAAGTGGCAAATGTAAATCCAACCATATCAATAATAACATCAAATGTGACTGTATTAAACAGTTCAAAGACAGAGATTGTCAAACGGATTAAAAACAAAAGATGCAACTACATGCTGTTTAAGAGATGCTCTTTCGTGAGATACATATAGGTTTAAAGTAAAAGGATGGGGAAACATGCCATGCAAATACTAACCATAGAGAACTAGAGTAGCTATATTATCAGACAAATAGTCTTTAAAACAAGAGAGACAGACTTCCGGGAAGATGGCGGAAGAGTAAGACGCGGAGATCACCTTCCTCCCCACAGATACACCAGAAATACATCTACACGTGGAACAACTCCTACAGAACACCTACTGAACGCTGGCAGAAGACCTCAGACCTCCCAAAAGGCAAGAAACTCCCCACGTACCTGGGTAGGGCAAAAGAAAAAAGAATAAACAGAGACAAAAGGATAGGGACGGGACCTGCACCAGTGGGAGGGAGCTGTGAAGGAGGAAAAGTGTCCACACACTAGGAAGCCCCTTCGCGGGCGGAGACTGCGGGAGGCGGAGCGGGGAGCTTCGGGGCCGCGGAGGAGAGCGCAGCAACAGGGGTGCGGGGGGCAAAGCGGGGAGATTCCCGCACAGAGGATC